GTTATCCCCTGTGTGTGGTCCCATCCTACCCCCATGGGTCATGCTTTGAACAAACTTGATTCCACACTACCTGAAGATGCTTCAAAATCAATACATGTATGAGCAATCATGGCTGTGCTGTTCTTGAGAAGATGATTTTTAAAGATTTCTACTATAGATTCCTATGTAAAACTTTGATCATCCATTGTGGCCCCACCCTACCCCTCGGGTTCATGATTTGAAAAAACTTGAATCTACACTACCTAAGATGTATTACTAATAAAAATTTTGATCACCCATTGTGACCCCACCCTACCCACAGGGGCCGTGATTTGAACACACTTGAATCTACACTACCTGATCATGAGGGTGCTTCCATAAAAATTTGGCCAATCATGGCTTTGCTGTTTACTGTTCTTGAGAAGAAGATTTTTAAAGATTTTTCCTATGTACATGTATTCCTTTGTATAACCTTAATCCCCCATTGTGGCCCCACACTACCCCTGGGGGTCATGATTTGAACAAACTTGAATCTACTCTACCTGAGGGTGCTTCCATATAAACATGAACATGACCAATCATGGCTTTCTTTCTTAAGAAGATTTTTCTATACTTATGTTTTCCTATGTAAAACTTTGATCATCCATTGTGGCCCCATCCTATCCCTGGGGGTCATGATTTGAACAAATTTGAATCTACACTACCAGAGGATGCTTCAACATAAGTTTCAAATTTTCTAGGCCAGTGGTTCTTGAGAAGAAGATTTTTAAAAGATGTCATTAATTTTTCACCAATTCATAATCTTCTCCCCTTGGAAGAAGGCATGGCACTTTATTTGCATTAACTTGAATTCCCATCACCCAAGGATACTTTGTGGCAAGTTTGATTGAAATTAACCCATTGGTTCTTGAGGAGAATATGAAAATGTGAAAAGATTACGGACAGATAGATGGAAGCCTGACAAAATGTTATTAGAAAAGCTCCCTTAAGCCTTCGGCCCAGGTGAGCTAAAAATTTACATTTTTTAGATCCTTTTCTTTACTATACAGTATATACTACGTACTCATGGTTGCAGATTTAAATGTTCCAGAGATAACCTCCTTCTCTTCTATAAATATATAAACTCTGTAATCTGTGTCAAGGCCAATCTGATGGAAGACAAGGAAACTGGTGTTTTTCTTCAAATATTTTGTATTTCTCTGACCATGTTCATTAGCCATTGTAAGTATGAGGTTCCTATCCTGGCACTCTCTTGTTGCATTCCAATACACTATTACTTTATGGGGTATATTGGTGATGAAGCTCATGTTGTACAATTGGCAAGAATCTGTAAAATCAAAACAACAGACTTGTATTGGGACTAAACTAATTATACATCAATACTCTTCATTCAAAAGAAGATCCGCTGGTCACAAAACAAAAGTAGTCTTATTCGCCTTGATAAGACTGACAAAAAATTAAAAATTAAGTGGTCCCTTATTGAAATATTTTATTTTAAATAGTACTTAAGTCAAACAATAGATATATGGAACAACTGGACGCAATCCCTGGATGAATGCTGGTCACAGTTCAACAATATTGTATGTTAGATTTTAAATATGAATGCTGAAAATATATTACAGTTTTCTGGTCTTGTTATTTCATAATCACTCTATAATTTCATTTTTATCTATATTTTACATTGAAGTAGTTAAAGAAAATATATAGAATGGGGAGTCTCCCTGCATGCAAACTACGAAAGACAAGACATTTTTGATCTCATTTCCAAAAGGCAGTTTGTATTTTTACAAAAATATAAATATTTATAAATTAAGTAAAATCTCTATTTTCTCTTGAAATGTCCATGTTCACTTTACTCACACTTTTTTCATATTCTCTGTACTTCTCTAAAATTCTAAACATAGGTAATCAGAGATTACAGGATAACCTCAATGACTGTTATCTTTAAGTAAGGCAAAGTCCCACACTAAACTAATTATTTAGAAGTGTACAGCCCTAGATGCAACATTTATATAATTTTGGTCCAGGAATAGCTTGCAGTTACTTGGGAATGGACTTGTCCTTAAAACTTAACCTGGTCATTCATCTAGAAAATGCAGGTCAGAACTAGCACAAGCAGTCCATTAGTGTGCATCCCTTGATGCATCATCCATACATGTTTGGTCCAGGCAGGCTATTATTACTTGGAAATGGACCTGCTCAAAAAGCTTAACCTGGTCAATCATACAGAAAGCCTATTTCACATCCAGCATCTAAAGTAAGTCTGGTAGTGTGCATCCCTAGATGTATCATCAATGCATTTCTGCTCTATGAAGGGTTTTAAATTAAACTGAAATGAAACTGCTCCAAGACCCCTAACTTGCTCACTTACCCAGAAATATAAGTCAAATCCAGTATCTGAAGCAAGTCTGGTAGTGTGCATCCCTAGATGCAGCATTCGTCAAAGTTTGCTCCAGGTAGGGCTCAAATTTACACTGGGATGAACCCGCTGAAAAAAGTTTATTCTGGTCACTCATCCAGAAAATGAAAGTCAAATCCAGCACCTGATGCAAGTCTGATAGTGTACATCCTTAGATGCAAAATCCAAGCAAGTTTGGTGCAGAAAGGGCTTGAAGTTACACTGGAATGAGCCTGCTCTAAAATATTAAACTGATCATTCAACAAGAAATTATAGGTCAAATCCACCATCTGAAGCAAGATTAAGAGTAATTATCGATTGATGCATCATCCATGCAAGATTGATCTAGGGAGGTCTTGAAGCTACACTGGAATGAACTGGCTCCAAAAACTTTAACTTGGTCAATCATCCAGAAAATTTAGGTCAAATCCAGCACCTGAAGCAAGTCTGTTAGTGTGATTCCTTAGGTGTATCATCCATGCATGTTTGGTCAACATCTTGCTTATAGTTACTTTTGAATGAAACTGCTCCAGAACTTTAACCTGGTCACTCATCCAGAAAATGTAGGTCAGATCAAGCATCCAAAGCAAGTCTGGTAGTGTGCATTCTTAGATGTATAATCCCTGCAAGTTTGGTCAATATATGGCTTATTGTTACTTGGAAATGAGACCTGCTCCAAAAACTTTAATCTGCTCCAGAAACTTTAACCTGCTCCAAAAATATTAACCTGGTCATTCTTTGGCTAAAAATGCAGCAACTGAAACCTGGGACTACAATGAAACATACTAAAAACATCAACTTTTCATTTCTGATCAATATAACGCATAGAAGTACTTGAAAAGAAATCTGCTCCAAAATCTTTAACCTGGGACGCCAACACAGACGCAGACACTAAACTTCATTGATGTGGGCTAAAAAAGCTAAAACCAGCTAGTTTTTCTTATTCCAATTGAAATTTGTATGAATACCTGATCTGGTTTAGGACTCCATCTTCCTATCGGTCTGTCAAAAAATAGTGCCTTGATAATAAATTCTTGAATTCTTAATTGGTATGGATTCAGGCTCATATATTATTATCAGTCAAATAAATATGTGTCAAAGTCATGTCTCAAGGTTCCCAGAAGATTAGGTCAATGGGCAAGGAGATCATGAAACACTGTCATGTCCAAAGGTCAAATCATCAAGGTCCCCTAGTGAGGGTTAAAGATACAACTGGGATAGGAGATATTTTTTGCAAAAGCAAAAGAAAAAAAATCAGCGTTTTTATCCTCTCTGACTCAAAAGTAGTGGTTGTGAAATTCACAAATTCAGCCAATAGATTAACTTTCTAAATAATGAAAACAAACCTGTTAATTCTACATAAACTGGATCACTTTGCAGACTAGCCTTGTACTGGTTAAAAGCAGTGACTGTGATGGTGTAATTCTTCAGCACCTCTAATTTAGATATGATGAGTGAATTCAATGTACAGTTCAGTGACAGATTGTAATTATCATCACATGTGATATGGACTTTGTAACCAATGATAGATGTGTCATTTACTGGTGATGTCCAGCTCACATTTACAGCAGTGGTGTTCAGCACTTGAACATGAACATGTCCAGGCCTCTCAGGAGGATCTATGGAAGAAATCACTTTGTACAATAAACTGCACACACACCTTAAATATTACATGAAAATGAGAGCATCATGGACCACAAATATGTCACTTCTACCTTCTTGACAAATAAATTTGTGGATAAATGAAACTTTTAATGTAGTGATGAAATTATAGTCCATAACTTAATTCTCAAAAGATTTAGTTATATATTGAGGCTTGATGTAGAGTTTGCAAATCATGGCCTGAAGAAATTTATTTCTGTTTAAAACTTCCTGAAGAAATTTATTTCTTTAGAATTTTAACCTCTTACAATAAATATGGAATAAAGAACAAAATACTAATCTTTGAAGATCTAACCATGATCTGGAATGCACTTTGGAGAAGTAAAGTTGTTCCATGTCAAAGACTCAGGACACCGTACAACAATGTCCCCCTCCAGGTGGTATCCCCGTAAACACTTGGCGGCACACACAGCATATACCTCTACAGAGTCTTTCCATACATTCTTAGGACACATCCAGTAGCCATATCTTATTTCAGGTAGGGAACCACATGCTTAAAGCAAAGATATATGCTTTGTATCAAAGAACTAAATTAGTTACAAACTGGTTAAGTTTACTTCTCACAATCATATATTGCTAAGTAATGAATATAAAGTTGTTTTTAATAACGATATAAAGTTGCTAATCAGAACACTTTTGTTGTAGGTATTTATTCTTTAATTTATTTGTACAACCCTTATCCAAAAGTGAATTATAGTCCATTATTATTTTAAGAATATTTTGGGTTATTTGAATGTTACTTCCATTTCATTGGAAAAATATTGCATATTACAATTCATATCACAGCATGCTCTGAGTATGATTAATTTTTAAACCAAGGCAGGCTACTGACAGATAAGTTGACGTTATAGGGATTTCAGCATCCTTGTTTAATGTCAGCAATTTCATAAATTCTATGGTCATTGTAATGATCTTGTGAATAAATATAACCTATCATTGGGTCATATTATGGCTGATATATTTCATACCACTTGCTAGGTCTTTGTTTTACACTGAACATCTGAACATGACTATGGAATGTAATTCATCTCCCTGATCAATACATCATGGTCATCATAATGATCTTGTGAACAAATATAACCTATCATTGTGTCATATTTTGGCTGATATATTTCATACCAATTGCTAGGTCTTTATTTTACACTGAACATGACTATGGAATACTAATTCATCTCCCTGATCAATACATAGGGCTCACAGTGGGTGTGACTGGTCAACAGGGGATGCTTACTCCTCCTATGCACCTGATCCCGCCTCTGGAGTTCCCAGGGGTCCATGTTTTATGCTCTGTTCACAGATTTGTATTGCTTGCAGATTTTTTTAGATTGATCACTGTTTGTTATCTTCACCTTTTTCATAAAATAGTCAAAGATCAACCCTAATGTAAAGTATACATTGTTGGGATTTATTGGTCCTAGTAGGGGAGTGGTATTGCTATAGTAACACTGGGTTTTGTTTTTACCTGTAACAATGATGGTATATGTCTACTTACAAGGAAACAAGCCTGTGCCTGGATAACACCAAGGATACAACTTTTCTCCCTTCACAACAATCCCTTCTTTATTCTGGTTCTCACAGTGATCAGAAATTTCATACTTCATTCCATGAACATAATAGTGACAAATAAAGGTGTCTCCAGGATTTGTCCTTCCTATGCTGAAAATTAAAATATTTCCATTTTATTCTCTGTAATTCACTCCTTAAAATATTTTATTTCAGCTCTGAACAACTTCACATTAAAAAATATGGCATCTTTATAAAGAGCTGTTCAAACCTGGCCCCAGGATCATGAAACAAACTTAAACTAAAGTCAAATTTTTCAATCACCTGTAAAATGTTTACTAATTATTGAATTTATCTCTAAAGTTGCAGACAACAACACTTTTGTATAGCAATATTGAAAAATATTTTAATTTTGTGCAGATTGACTTTTACAAAAAACTAAAGAGAACATAAAGATTTTAACTTAAGCTTAAGATGTTTCATGATCCCAGGGCCAGATATTTCAATTTTTCAAAAGGTTTTGCCATTTGTGAATATAATCTAGTTTTAAATTGTAGCACAATTTGAGATTGTATCAATGTGTAATAATTAGTTGTGTTTAGATTGAAGGATTATGTACTAGTATGTTGTTGGTGGTGAGAATTCAAACAATAAAACTTCAATGAAGATGGCACACAAATACAATTTCATTTCATCCATGAAAATGTTTCAAGAGATGCCATGTGTTCATTTATTAAAAATGTTAGAAAAAAAATTTGTCTGCCATTCTCTTCTTTTCTAACACATAAGCTCAGACTTGACCCTTTATTGAGCGACTGCTGGTAAAGTTTTTTAATTCGACATACCAACAAGTGTGTCATTTTATCTAACTGTTGAGTTTTCAAAATCATGTGATGGTGAATGTGATCTGTCTTTCCAAATCACCGACTGTGATTTCCTGGATCCATATCTCCACTTTGTGAAATGGATAAAGTGCGTGGTATATGGTACATATGTACTACATGTACATAAATCTTTTTTCTTGCATATAAAAAAATTCATTTAATTCAATTTTTTGGGGTTATATAAATAAATAAATGTTGTATAATTGCTTGTTAAAATTTGAGGTTTTATAAACTATTAATAGAGGGGTAAATAATTTTTTTTAATCATAATTATCTTTACAGTAATTTGCTCCAAAGAGCTGGATCAGGTCACATTTACAGAGGTTGACCATCAGATCAAGCTTGATACATTTCATTTGACCTGATGATATACACCTGGCAATTCAATGTTATGAGCTCTTCTAAACCTGTCAAGGTAGCCTAGTGGTAGGGTGTTTGCCTTGTGATTGTGAGGCCCCGGTTCAATTCTCATATGTTGCACCGCGACATAAATATAGGTAATAGTGACTGTTCCATCTCCATTTTAGCATTAGAAGTGAAAGTTTAGGATCTTTCCAATGAGACCTTATAAACTATGGTCAATCAATCTTATCAAGTTGTTGTTATAATAATATACATGTATATAGAGCAATAACATGTAAATTAGCTTTCCTCTATATCATCCAGTAAATGTCATCATTTCCTTTCAACTCCTGGGAATTTACAGATTATTAGTGATTTTTTCCTTTGTTTTTTACTTTCTTTGAAAATGTGTAAACAAACATTCTGCTGGAAAGTTTAAGTCCATGACATTAATCAACCAAACAATTACACTTAATGTATTTACAGTGCTTTGGTTCCTGAAAAATGTTGTTAATAATGGAAAAAAGGAAATTAACACTAGCAACAATTAATTAGAGAACAATGCATTAACTTTTCTCTGTGATCTAATATGCATTTTCATTAAGGAAGTTGGGATTATAACTAACAAGAGGCCCAAGGGCCTTAACAGTCACCTGAGTATTATTGTATTTCGACATGCTCTCTGAAACATATTCCACCTTTATCATGCATATCAATTAATGTTGCCTTGTCCTTGTGAAAATGGGCAAGAATCAAGTTCACAACCACTTTTTCATACGCATCCTTTAAGATCTCATACATATATGTCTTGATATCTACATTTTATAAGTATCCTCCAGTCAAAATTTGTGATTCATTGACATTCAGTGAGTATAACAACAAAGAAATTCATAAAGACATAAAGGGGGATTGTTCACATTTGCAATACAATGAAATCAAAACAGAGCTGAATATGTTTTATTTAAGCATTGAATTCTTACTTTGGGATGCCATCAGTCCTATAACAGCACCTGGCTGTACTGACAAATTGAATAACACGTGTTAGCATGGTATGATAATTTGTTGGAACAGACATGTGCTGCTATTGACCGACAACATCCAAAAATAAGAATTCAACACTTACATTAATATATTTACATTCTCCAATTTCTCTTTTCATAATTGTTTATTTTGTTAATCTTTTTTTTAGGAATTTGGCGCCTTCAGAAAAGGTGTGCTTAATAGATGTAAGAGCCATTGTGATGTGGAAAGTTAGCCACTGTGACGTGAAAAGTTAAATAATGCAAATACAAAAAATGACAAATTAATTTTAAATGCACAGTTGTTATATTTCTATGATACCAGTAATTTAATACGGTAGGTGTTTTTATTTAAATTGAGCCAAAACAATACACATTTTGATGTTTCAGATTAAAGAAAATGCATATAGTTCTCAGTGTGTGTTCTACCGCGTGGTGACAAGGTTTCTTGTCTGTTATAGGGTACTGAATGTTGCAGATTTTCAATGGATTTCATAAAGAAAATCAACACTGAATGTGAATATTTTTCATTGACATGAAGTTGGTCACATGATCAGACTTTCTTGCCATATATAAGTACTGAAGAAATCAAAACAGAAATATCGGAAATAAGATATATATCATTTTTAGAGTTTCATTAAGATATGACATTCAGTCGGTACATGATCAAATCTACTATGATAACACCCTTTGGGCATTATAGGATCTGATCAGGTGACCAACTGCATGTCATATCTTCATGGAACTCTAAAAATGATATATACTATCTCACAAACTGAACAATTGATTTATAATCTAGGCTGAACAAGTGATTGACCAACTCAAAGACAGAAGTATTACAGTACTGATGACTTACTATCTCCCAGTCTCGCCTGTAGCCACTTGATAACGCTTTACTCTGGGATCTGCTTCTGTTGTTAAGACCTTATAAAGAAATATATGCACATTTAAAATTTAACACAAATTGTAAAGTGCATCTTCTTTAAAGGATAATTAAAATAGGACAGGTAAAATATTAAAGAAAAAAAAATATCATTGTCAGCATCAAACTGTTCCAAAAGAAAAAATTACCATTGCCAGCAGCAATCCAATCATCATTTTCATTATAACTCTTCTCGACGGTGTTCTAAAATATTAAACAATTGTTTATGTATGAAATAAATACAGAAAATAAAATTAACACTCTTTGTCAGTCTAGCTGTCTGTCCATTTGTCTTAAACTTTTCACATTTTCCACTTCTTCTCAAGAACTACTGGGCCAATTACATTCAACCACTTACCACAAAGTATCCTTAGGTAAAGGGATTTTTCAGTTTATTCAAATGAAGGACCACACCTCTTCCAAGGGAGATAATTACAAATTTAGTGAAAAATTAATGGCATCTTTTAGAAATCTTCTTCTCAAGAACCACTGGGCCAGAAAAGATGAAATATGTGGAGACATCCTCGGATAATGTTGATTCAAGTTTGTTCAAATCATGACCCCCGGGGGTAGGGTGGGACAACAATAGGCATTCAAAGTTTAATAAAGGAATACATACAAAAAATCTTTTAAAAATCTTCTCAAGAACTGCAAAGCCATAATTGTTCATATTAATTTTAAGCATCCTCAGGTAGTGTAGATTCAAATTTTTCAAATCATAACCCCTGGGGGTAAGGTGGGGCCACAATGTAAATGGGCAATCAAAGTTTAACATAGGAATACAAAGGAAAACTCTTTAAAAATCTTCTTCTCAAGAACAGCAAAGCCATGATTGGTCATATTTATATTGAAGCATCCTTAGTGGATTCAGGATTATGCAAATCATGACCCATGGGGTAGGACATGTTCATGATTTGAACAAACATGTATCTACCCGGTACCTACATTTAGGAAGGTTTCATAAAAAGATTCCTCTCTTTAGTTTCTTGGGAAGATTTTTTTAAATGATCCCATCCTATTTTATGCTTTCTAAATTATATCTGAAGGGTTGTAGCCCTTCGCTTGTTTAAACTTTTAACAAGCTTGGATGAAATCGCAGGCCAATGTCAATGTTCAGTTTATATAACTTCAATCTTCCATCTGGAAAATATGTCTCATTTGCATGCAAAATTTGAGCAACAATAGTGACATCTGTGCATGCAAGTTTGTTTAATGAATAAAGCTGTGGGCATTAGTAAATGGAAGTACTTCAAAAACTTCAATTTATGGTATTCACTCATCTAGACTGGGCAATTAAAGGACATTTCAGAGGAATTGCAAAAGGTGTGAATGGTGAAAGATTCCTAAGACATTTCAGCAAATTTCAAAGATTCATAGGACATTTTAGCGGAAGAAAAAAAAGTTACCTGTAAAAATTAATGAACATTTTAGCTGAATTCAAAAGGTGTGAATGGGCATATATTTACATCCACTGAATATTATTTCCTTTATTTCTTAAGAAAACCATTGCCCTTTTTCAGTCAGTAAATGACACTTAGCAAGCCACCTGCAAAGATTTCTTAAATTCTACTTCCACTTCCCCATTGGGTTGGGTTGGGTTAAGTTGGGGGGGGGGGGGCAGACTTTGCTGGCTAAGAATGGGTATATTCAGGGCTGTGGAAAACTACCAGTCATGCCAGCAAAACCGGCAAAAAATGCCTGTGACCGGTAAAAATGCTATCAATGTCGGTCCAAATGACCGGCCCCTTTTTGGGTTATAAAGGTTTTTTTGTTTTCCATTTATCATTGGTGCACTTCCCAGCTTAATTATCATACCTTATATACGATTGCGTAATTCTTTTTCTTTACATGAGATCGAGGCTGTAAATGAAAGCAAAACCAGCATGGTCTTGTGACCTATTAAATTTACAAGTGTGGCAGAATTAGGTAGAAAACATAAAGAAACAGATACAGACAAGCTTCGACTGAAAGAATTCAAACACCGTTGGGGAAAGCGGTAAATCTAGTACTTCTGACTGTCCCGGATTTCGTTTTTTCATCGATCATGTTGATACCTTTATTATCGATGCACAGAATTTCTTCAATTTTTAGACTCATTTTCTAGGTTAATATAATTCCAAAACGCATTTATGTTTCAAAAGAAATTACGTTTACTATGCTGAATGAGAATTGTCACCTGCCCAAATGAAATCTAGTATTAATTGTTATAAATGCAGAAAAAGGAAGAGGACTTGGAAATGGAGATTGAATTTTGTATTATTATTAATTAAATAGATGTGTAATTAAGTTAAAAAAAGTTATGCTTTTTTTTTTTTTAATTTTGTGACTTGCTATTTCGGACCGGCAAAAATCACTTCCGACAGGCTTATTTTGTCTTCTTGTCGGTCCAAATGACTGGCTATCTGAAAAAGTTTTCCACAGCTCTGACTATATATAATTCTACTTAACTATCCACTAAAATATTCACATCTTTATATTCTAAAATTCTGCTAATATGTCTTATAAATCTTCCACTAAAATGTCCAGAAATTTTCCGCTCAAACGTCCATTTTTTTTCTGCTAAATGCCCTCTCAATCCACTGAAATGTCCAATGCCATCCAGACCCTTGTAGGTCACATGTAAAATCTGAATTATGATTACAAGTATGCATCCTTAATGTTATCCTCAATGCAAGTATGCTGAACAAAAGAATATTATTATGCTTCCTTAAGTTTGTCTCAATATAAACAATTTTCCCTTAGTATATAGCGTAAGCATACTAAATTGTAGTATTTAGACAACAGTCAGCATAATAATAACAAAGATGTTGCATTTTGTGTATACTATGCCTAAACAGTTGTCAGGGTTGTCTAACCCTGACTACTATTTAGGCATAGTACATGCAAAACTTAACACTATTTTAAAAATAGCTACTAATAAATAAACTTGCTTGGAAACTTTATTTATACGATCATTCCTCCAAAAAATCTGGGTCGCAAGTGATTCAAAGCACTGTTGCATATCTCCAACCACAGCACAACTATTCCAATATAGAGCAAAATTTTCAACTTCCAAAATTGTAGGAAGAGTTTTAATGGTAATTAAACCTTCATGACAAACCACACTATTTTAAATTCCTTGGAAGTCCTAGAGAAGAGACCAAAATTCTAAAAGCTTTCTTGTGCATCTATTACATGGCTTATCAAATTTATATCGATATGTTTTGGGAAATTATGATGAGCTGCAATGACAAGCTAATTTTTTTAATCACACTAATCTAGGCCCTGGGGTTGAAAGTGAAATTCAAATTGTTTTCATGTATCTGCATATTGGTGCCACTGACAAAAGGACAGACTGGGAAACGAATAATGTACAGATACCTTCATGAAAAATGCAAGTATAATAAGATTTGTCACAAGGAACATAAAATCACAAATTTATGTATTTTTAAACAGAACAATATTTCTGAAACTTCCCCCATCTCTGGACAGAAATGAGGGAAGTACACATGTACTGACAATAAACATAAAACAATAACAGATATCAATACAATGAAAACAAATACATCAACAGAATACAATACAGTACACATGCACTACTGCATGTACTTACATAAGCGGCTCTGAATGCATGTACATGCTATCTGTTACAATCCATGTGCCTCCCGGGGTCTTTCTGAGGATAAACAGAGGTACACCCCTCAGTCAGCTATGTATCCCTCAATAAACTAGTCACTTTGACACTGCATGATATCATGTCTTCCTGTTCATGACTCTCAGTTCAGCTGACCCCCGACAAGGAAACAGAGCTCTGGAAATTATATTCCTTGTATTGAAAAAAACAAAAACAGAGAAAATTATTTTTTAAGGTCAAATCAACACAGCAAAATATAGCAACAAATTTGCATTTGTGCTCATAGCAAAAGCAAAGTTTGAAGGTCTAGCTGACAATCAAACACTGTTATTTCATATAAGTTGCCAAGACAATACAAATTCAATAAAAAAGATTTTCCTGTTCTGACAAAATATGTAACATAGTTATAGGATATGCTTGTTTTAGGTCAGTGATAAATGGATTTTATGTAAAATTTTGAGGTTTGCAAAAAGGGAATTGTAGGAGGGGAATAGATGGATATAAGTTGGTGCGTCACAGAGGAATTGAGGTGGAATTGATAGCATGGTGGTGGGGGGGGGGGGGGGGTAAGGATGGATATAAGATGGTGCATCACAGAGGGATTGAGATGGGATGGCAGGGTAGGGGGATAAGATTGTGTGTCATAGTGGGATTGAGGTGGGACTGATAGCATGGTTGGGGGGGGGGGGGGGAGATAAGATGGATATCAGATGATGCATTACAGAGGGATTAGGGTGTAACTTATAGCAGGGGTGGGATGGGGGTGGGGGTGGGGGTTAGATGGACATAAGGTGGTGTGTCATAGAGGGATTGAGGTAGGACTGATGGCAAAGGGTGGATTAGATGGATATGATGGTCATGGAGGAGACAAGAGACAGTGACAGGGGTAATCATCCTGTCTTCAAGTGTTCTTATATAAAACAGGGATAAGTCAGACATATATGTACGATATTGGTCTAAAATAATGCACACTCTCTCAGTATTTAAGTAGAAGAAATGGAGGTGGTATTTGGAGGATTTAATTGCTCCTTGATACCCCTTGTCTCATGTGAGAGCCTTGGTCAATATATCCCCTCATGTCTACTTCATTTTGCAGCACAAAGTCAAAATTAGGAGCTGCTGTTGGCTGAGGTACCAGAAATCTAGAACCCTCTGTCCATGGCTCCAACAATGACAACAGCTGCATGTAAAATTGTAAATAAGTCCAGTCAATTTATCATTAAACATCAAACCAATTGCAAGAGAATTTTCTTATTATAAATAAACTCTTGAATGTACAAAATAAATGGGGTAAAAAATCTAACAATACAGTAACTATAGAAAAGGGGCATGACTCAATTTTGGTTAAATTTTTAGTTTGTTTTTCTACTCTGAGGAAAGAAGAAGTGAATTAGACTGTGCATAATGACAATTTTAGATGCATTTAAATCTTTTGTACCAAGCAAAAAAAATTATAACAGATTATTAGGCCCAATATTTCAAAGTGTATGTTACATTTCCTCACCTCATTATATATTAAAATTTAAGGGTACAGATTATTAGAACACAGGCGATAAGCCAAGTTCTGTCTTTTAATCTTTCATTATATTTAGTATTTATGAACTATATTTAGTATTTATGAACTAAATGAAATAACCAATGCAGACTAAATCATAATTTAAAGGAAAATTATGAATTGTTGTTCTTTTCTAAAATCTGTTACTGTTATCTCTTGAAAAATGTTAATGTTTCAAAATAATCAAAGAAGAAGAAAGTTAAATTAATACATCCATTAAAAATTTGTATCATCTATGCAAGGTAATAATTTGAAAGTATCAACTAGAAATATGTCCATAGGACACGAATGCCCCGCCGAGGGTATATTAGTAATGCAACATAAAAATTTGTATTAGTGTATGAAATTTGATGAGAATATCTTGAAGAGTTTCTTTAAAATTGAAATTGAAATCTAAAAAGTTGGATATAGATGATAAATTCTCACATAATTATGTATAAGTGCATAAGATTACATAAATATATCTTAAATGGTTTCTTTAAAATAAGCAAAATGCAGATTTAAGAAAGGTATATCTATAAATAGAAAGGGGTGAATTCCTTTTTAAATTCTTGAATCGTGCTTGTCGTCGGCAAGGCAGCTATGACTCTTTCTTACACGCTTAAAAATCATTCGAAGTACATTGTAACTTTAAAATTACTTGTCAAGTTTAAATCAATTTTTAATGAAAATGATTCACTGACTCAGTCAGTCAAACTTATGGAGCTCTCTAAGGGTCATAAATGTATTGCAAGCTTAAAATGTGTCTCTTTCTGTTCTATTAATTTAACCATACAGACTGCTCCTTTCTTATATTCTGGCGCATGACCTCTTTAACAAGACACTTTTTCTCTGAAATAGGTATCCATAAACGCATTCATAACGTATGCTTTTCCGGATACGCCTCTAATAAAAAAGGTCACGTCCGTGATATTAAAGAGCCTTAGCACATTTGATAGGTTTTTACCTCCTCTAGAAGTGATTTCTTAAACACATTTTCTAACCATGAGTTTGCCATACAATCTTAGTTTATACATGTGTAAACTCGAATTACACAATAATGATATTTAAATGTTAATAGTTCCTTGTGTAAATGATAAAAAATGAAGATCATTGAGTTTCTTTGGTGTACACTGTAAAAGTGGAAACTTTGACGATGAGGAAACGTTGACGATATTGACGAATTTCTAATAATCGTCAAAGTTTCCACTCGCTATTTTTCTAATATACCGAAATCGTCAAACTTTCAACCCTTCAATTTAACCACCTTTACAGTAAAGTAAATATTGAGGTATGACAAAAGGATGACAAACTATTGTCTAAGACCACCCTTAAGCAGAAAAACATCATTTGAATAACTTTATTTTGAAATGACTGCACTTCATTACATTTAGATAATTAATTTTGGTTAATCATGATCTTCATATCGGAAATGATGAAAATATATATTCAATTTTTCTTCTCATATTAGCAATCTGTCTAAAATTTATCTATTCCCCATCATTGATATCGTGGCACATGGTATGATTGTTAGAACGTAAATGTGGTGCTCCCGATTTCGATCCCAACATTTTCCATTTCTGTCTTTTTTATTTTTTTTCCTTTGTGTACCTTTTCTGTGCTCTCTTTATTATGCTTTATAATAAACATAATTTCAGACAGTTATATATACATGTTACACTTTGAAAGTTAATCTCGGGAAGCGACATTTCTGAACTACACGTATTTCATTAAATTTTGCATATTCATTTGATTACTTTTACTGATTTCCTTAATCGTTTGTCTCGAAATTAGAGAAATGAACACGATGATCATTATAAGACATACTTGATACTTATACTAAGACATAAATTCCTCGCGTATATTTTGGAATCTACTGTGTATTGTGGCTGGGTTTTTTTTCTTTTTCTATCACACAGGCAATTTTTTAACCCAGAGTATAATAATAACACAAGGTATCCAACTCCGAACTACATGGAGTACCCCCCTCCCCCAGAATTGCATTCATTTACACTTTCAGAGGAAATCCCGGGCAGAGAGCAAAAGTAAAAAAAGGAATGGGTTTAAAAATTCAATTCCAGTGTTTAAATATTGAAGTGAATAAATAGAATTTGTTTAAGTCTGATTTTCCCTGCAAACATTACGATATTTATCCGATGTAATTTTAGAAACACAAAATCTCTGCCCGGGATTAGCACATACCATTTCATGGTTGAAGTCGACTTTTCCACTCGTCGAGCAGAGTTTTGACGCTGTTTACGGAGATGAAAGAAAATAAAGACAAGCATGCCATATATGGTTGTGTATAGATAAATTATCGTAGAAGACATAGGTGTAAACAGTTTGCCAGTGCATTTCCTCTGAAAGTGTAAATGAATGCTATTCTGGGGGAGGGGGGTACTCCATGTAATTCGGAGTTGGAAACCTTGTGCTATTATTATACTCTGGGTTAAAAATTTATTACAGAAACAAGTGCCTGTGTTCTACCAATATCCATATTCTCTTTAGAGAAGTGGACAGGCTTTGAAGGCGAAAGCCTGTCCACTTCTCTAAAGAGAATAACACTATCCATAGATAAATCAGAACGTTTGCGTTCAGTATTGGATGGCTAAATAAGATTATAATTTTGTACTAAGGGTTTTTAATGAAATTTTCTGTGATGACCTTGATTTGGGATTTTGAAATGTTAATTTTCAAATTTTGCGTTTAGAATTTTATGCCGTGTTCTGTATTTATTTAATTTCATTGTGGACGTATGTAGTGTTAAAAGGTCTTTTGAAATATTAACAGTGTCCATTACAGGCTTCTATAGATAAATATAAACATGATAGGAAATACCCAACAGTGGCTGTCAGCTATCATCCGCAACTGTACTCGGCAATGCTGGTACCGGACATCCATGACGTACCTGCTCACTAATATTAAAAACGGAATGTCAGAGCAAGATTTTCCGGATTGTTCAACGTATTAAACTGTATGTTGTTAATTAAGTATGGATTGTTTTTTTAAATGAAACATACAAAATGTGTTAATAATTAATCTACTTTATGGAAGGCTGTAATCGCCAAAACGGTAACAATAACTAGCTTAGTGAATATATCGCGGAAAATATATGTGTAAGCTTGACTATGCCTAAATCCATTGCATAGATCGCTATTATCTCTAAAAAGTAACATTTACTACAGCGTACATTTTGTATATCTATGACTGTATACCTGTGCCTGATATACAACATCTGCGACTGTACCTGTGCCGTACATACACACTACCACTGACTCAACCCGCGCTTGATTAACTTAACCCGCGCTTGATTAATAACATCCACAACAAAAAATTCTGTGGATTTTCTCCGATTAAGATTTAGACTGAATTCAATCAAAGCGCAATTAACGCTAATTTTTATATTACCCATGACAGTGATACCGAGACAAACGATGTCAGCAGTGATTAGGGAAGGATCCAAAACTTTTACAAATTTAAATTTAAAGCTTTATGTTCAGAGTACAATATGAGCCAGGTCTTTAATTTTTTTTTTTTTTTTTTGGGGGGGGGGGGGGGGGCTGGGGGCATGATTTCAATATCCTACGTGCTCAATAACAATGATGAATTTAAAATGAAACATGCTAGTATAATTATAGAAAATA